CTGTTACTGCTCTGATTTTGTCCATCTGTTCGTGGAGAGGCATGTTGCTCCTCATATCGCTCGATTACAGACTGGATTCCTCCCTGACTTGCTCCTTCCTTGTCGGATCTCTGAGGCATGTTGTTTCACCTTTTGCAATTTCAACACCTAACACCACTGTCCCACCGGGCGTGCCAAATTATTTCGCGCGTGTTAATTCGCTAACAATTAAAGAGAATCAGACGATTGTGTAAAGGACGAAACCTCTTGAGACAAAGTCCCAAAAAGGGGTGTTCTTTTAATTGGCGATGAACTTTACAATTGGAAACGGAAAACAACGTGCCTCCAAGGGGCGCAAGCACACGAGTTACAGAAAAGGAAGTGTTTAAGTCTAAAAACTAAAGGAATGAAAATTATATATTCTCTGTTCGAGAGTTTTGGATTCGGTCTTTGCTTCTAAGTTCTTCCTCCCTTTTATACTTCATAGGCGATTCCTTTGTGATTAACTGCTCTAAGAAAACTGCTTGATCGCCCTATAACTACCCACTTTCTTTGTAGTGGCCATTTTGTCATGAAACCGTCCTTTTAACTGCTGCCATTATCTTGCATCGTTCAACCGCTTTCGATTAAATCCCTTAAGTCGTGGAACGTGATAAGGTTACTTTTAGCAACTGCCTCAATAACTGCATTTCTTGATAATCATAATGCATTATGTTTGTTGATACCTTGGGCGACTTGAAGATTTGGGCAAGACTCTGGGCGACCGTATGCCACTCTATTCGTTCAGATTCTGAGCGACTTGCAAACTTGGGCGATGGCGTTACCGCACTATTGGGCCCCTTATTTGGGCATCCACCTTGATTCGTTTAATTGGATTTCGTTCTTTGGGCTATCTGATTTGGGGATCTTCCAGTTGGGCTTTACTCTCTGAGCTGTTTGATCTGGGCTAAATTTTTATGTGTCAACAAAAGTGTACAATGCACTTTAATTTTTCATAATTCATGTTGCAAGCAAGATGTATCTCATACTTTTGATTTGATCGTGTCGAAGATTCTACTCTTCAACACAACCATCATGTCGGATGAAAGGTAGAAGAAGTCCAAACAAAGATCAAATAAAGCAAGAAAAAAATAATGAAGCATGGATTCCAAGTTCAATTTTAACGTGTATGATTATGTTCTCTCGAAATAACGTGTTGACCTTCGAAAATATCCAACAGGTGCCGAGTCCACACGGGAAGATTTCGGTGTGTTAAGATTGCTTGTTCGATTAGGCGGTGAAACTGAACACAGAAGATACGGCTTCGACGCGCAACTAAACAGTTCAGACGTCGGCTAAAGTGATCGAAAAACTTGAAGATGCGCGAATATAATTTCGCTTTGACATACTCGGAACAATTGCATGATAATAGAAATGAAATGAAACGAAACGAAACGAATAAGAGATCCAATGACTTGAAATATATGGAGTAGTGTTTATTTTCCCCTCCGAAATGTGTCAAAAATTAATTTACTCGTTCATTCTTCCTTTTTCTCGGGTTTTCTCCCTTTTTTCCCTTTCTATATATATATATATATATATATAAAATATAAATGTTCAATGCAGTTCAATCAATTAGGATACAACCCACAATGGTAGCTGTTTTTTTGGAGTGCAGAAACTCCTATAACACATGTTGATTCCCAACCTAATTTTAAAGAGCTAGATTATACGACAATATTGAAGTATATCAGACCACACACCGAAAAAAGAGGTTTAGAAGTAAAGAAAAATACAATGGATTAAAGGCAAAGGATGATGTTTCTTAATTCAATAATATGTAGAATAAAAAGTAATTTAGCAATTGATTTCTATCTGTTACACTATCTAAACTAACAAAGGAGCCTAATATCTATACTACATGGCCACACCTTAAGTAGAGTCACAAAAGGTAAATTTACAATTAAGAATTTGATCTCCTTTCCCACTCTAGTCAAATTATGCTTCTTCAATCTCCTAATTTGAGTCACATTCCTAACAATTTTCTCCTCAAAATTGCCAAATAACATGAACAAGAGTGTTTGTGGAGTCAGATTTGCACAAGTCATGTTAGGGCCTAATCAACCTCAGAGCACTAAGAAAATGGACAAGTCTCAGGAATAAAAAAATCAAAGAGGGTTGGTTTTCAACTCTTGTTTTCTTTTTGTTTTCGTGTCATAAAATGATGGGCTTTTGTTAATCTTGGAAGTATAGATAGATAGATATTTCACTTTTGAGGACGAAAAAATTTGCTAGGGTTGTCGAGGAATTTTTTAAGATAAAAAGTTTTAATCCTTGCAAGTGAAATTTCTTGTTGTGTATATAAATATGTACTAGTGTTTGAGTTCAACATGGTTTCGAAATTAGGGAAACGATTGCCTCATTTGGTGAAGGATATGCAACGAGGTTTGATGAAGAAGGATTTGGAGGAATGTATGGAGGGAATAGTCTATTTCCAAGGAGGACGAGGAGAAAATTGTTCATGGAATAATTAATTAATTTTAACTAAGTATTTTATGTCCAATCATACATTGCAACCATAATTTTTCAACGACACATTTCATATAATGTTATCAATGTATGCTAAAAATCTTATTTTAATTCCCGGGCTATACTTATAAATATTGGTATGACACTTCAAAAAAAGTTGCCTAAATTTTTTTAATTTGACATTGAGAAAACTTTAGGAAAAATTTAATCATTATATTTGGAAACTTGAATTAAGAACTGAATATTATTATGAACTTTT